AAAAAAAGCAGCACAAATTTATATTTCAATATATTTGTGTTTTGCCTTTGATTGAGTGTATATATGGTTGACCCCTTTTAATTCCTTGATGTTCTTTGGGATTGTGACATTCATGGCTCATTTCTTGTTCCTTGTCTTGTCAATTTCTTTTAAATTTTTTATAGGGTTGGAAAGTGGAATTTCAATTTCTCCCTATTAGTTTGAGGACTTGTGTGTCTTATTTCTTTCTTCCTTTCCCCTGCATTTTTCTTTTGGTTTTATAAGCTTATAATTGGCATAAAAGATTCAAAGCTTGTTTCTTTTTCACTTCCCCATATACCCTTCTTTCCATTTTTCTTGGCTTTTTTTTTTTTTTAATCATCTGTCTATCAATCATGCTCTTTTTGTCTTTAGTCCTGAGGCTAAAGTAATAATTTCTCTGTAGCTATTCAGTTGATCAAACAACTTGTTGTTGATGAATCTTTAAGTGCTCCCATAAAAGAAAGTTCCCACTTTTGATCTTTAAGTTCTTTCCCTGTTATCACTAATGGGAAGCCTAAAGAATTTGCACTCTGCTGTACTGTTCAGCTGCCTAATCTTTTTGGCTCAATCACTGAATGAAGAAGGAAATATCCTTCTACAGTTCAAACAATCTCTTGATGACCCTTTTCACAACCTCCAAAGCTGGAATCCATTGGATTCAAATCCTTGCAATTGGACTGGTGTTCTTTGTAGCCCCAATGGTAAAGTCATCTCTGTATACCTTAGCAGCCTCAACTTATCAGGAACTCTATCATCAACCATTTGTGATCTCCCTTTCTTGAAAAATCTGAACCTGTCGAAAAACTTCATCTCCGGTCCAATCCCTCCCGATTTCAACCGCTGTCGAAGCCTCGAGATTTTAGACCTTTGCACAAATAGGCTCCAAAGTGAGTTCCCAAAGGAAATTTGCAGCATTACAAGCCTTAAAAAGCTCTATCTCTGTGAAAACTACATATTTGGCGAAATCCCGGATGAGATTTCGAACCTGGCCTCGCTCGAGGATCTCGAAATATACAGCAACAACTTAACCGGAGAGATACCGAAGTCGTTCGGAAAACTGATGTCGCTGGAAATTCTCCGGGCAGGAAAAAACTCCTTATCCGGACCTCTTCCGGTTGAAATCAGCGAGTGCAAGAATTTAACCATTTTGGGCGTGGCTCAGAACTGGCTCGTGGGCCCGTTCCCAACCGAGCTGCAAAAGCTCGAACAGTTAAACACATTGTACCTCTTCGGCAATCAGTTTTATGGCGAGCTCCCGCCGGAAATAGGTAACTTCACCAGCTTGGAGGCGTTGGGCCTGAACGGTAACAATTTCGAAGGCCCAATTCCGAAGGAAATCGGTAAACTCACCGGGCTCCAAATGTTGTATCTTTACAAGAACCAGCTCAATGGTACCATCCCTGCTGAGCTGGCAAACCTTTCGAGCGCGGTCGAGGTGGACTTCTCCGAAAATCGCCTTTCGGGTCCCATCCCAAAAGGCTTGTCTCGAATTTCTAATCTCAGTTTGCTTTTCCTGTTCGAGAACAATCTCGAGGGGAATATCCCGACCGATCTTTGCCAGATGGAGCAGGTGAGGAAAATCGACCTTTCGATGAACAATCTAACGGGCTCGATCCCGTTAGAGTGCCAAAACCTCCGGTTCTTGATGGACTTTCAGATGTACCACAACCAGCTCGAGGGTATTATTCCTCCGCTTCTCGGGTACAACAGCGAGTTTAAGATACTGGACCTTTCGATGAATAGCCTCTCGGGCGAAATACCTCCGAACATTTGCAGGTCTCGAAACCTGACTTATCTTAGCCTCGGTTCGAACAAGTTGACCGGTAACGTGCCGCATGGCGTGAAAACATGCAGCTCAATCCAGTACTTGATGCTAGGTGACAATTTACTCACCGGAAGCTTTTCGATCGAGTACACTCGGCTTCGAAATCTTTCGGGACTAGAGCTCTATAAGAATCGGTTCTCAGGAATTATACCTCGGGAGATCGGTAATTTCAGCAGCATCGAGAGATTGCTCTTGTCGAACAATCATTTCACGGGCCACATACCTTCCGAGATCGGAAAGCTCGTTGCGCTCGTCGCGTTTAATGTGTCCTCAAACTGGCTGCTCGGCGGCATACCTCAAGAGTTAGGAAATTGCATGAGCCTCGAGAGGCTTGACTTAAGTGGGAACCGGTTGACCGGCTCGATTCCCGATTCACTCGGCAAGCTCGTCAAACTTGAGCTGCTGAAAATATCGGATAATAATTTGTCGGGCCCCGTGCCCGGGACCTTAGGTGGACTTTTCCGGCTAACCGAGCTGCAGATGGGAGGAAATTCGTTCTCCGGCTCGATCCCGTTTCAGTTGGGCCAACTTTCCGGGATCCAGATCGCGCTTAACATCAGCCACAACAACCTCACGGGTCCGATCCCGAGCAGCCTCGGCAACCTGCAGATGCTCGAGTCGCTTTATCTGAACAACAACGGGCTCACAGGCCCGATCCCGAACTCGATAGCGGGCCTGAGAAGTCTCATCGAGTGCAACCTCTCGAACAATGCCCTGTACGGGCTGGTCCCCGACACGCCCGCCTTCTCAAAAATGGACCCCAGCAACTTCGCGGGCAATGACGGGCTCTGCCTGACCCAATGCCGTGGCTCGTCGCCAAGCCCTATGCATGGCCCGGCCCGGAGTTGGCTGGGCCGGGCCTCGAGGAGGGAGAAGATCATCACGCTCGTCTCTGGTTGCGTTGGGTTGGTATCGGCGGGCCTGATCGCGGTTATCTGCTGGGCCATGCGGGTCCATAAGCCCGACTTCTCGTCGCTCGACGAGCAGATCAAGAGCGACGAGCTCATCGACAGCTACTACTCACCGAGGGAAGGGCTTGGTTATCGGGACCTTCTGGAAGCTACCGGAAACTTCTCCGAACAGCACATCTTGGGAAAAGGAGCCTGTGGGGTCGTTTATAAAGCCGTTATGGGTAACGGTGAGGTGATTGCCGTTAAGAAGTTGAAAAAGTCGCACGGCGAAGGAGCGAATAGTACTGAAAACAGCTTCCGAGCAGAGATATCGACGCTTGGGAACATAAGGCACAAGAATATCGTGAAATTGTACGGTTTTTGCAGCCATCAAGAGAGCAATTTGATATTGTACGAGTACATGGCGAACGGGAGCTTGGGGGAGGTTCTACATGAAGATGAGCGGGCCCGAATGCTCGAATGGGAGGCCCGTTACAAGATTGCAGTTGGGGCAGCCGAGGGGCTGGCTTACTTGCATAATGACTGCAAGCCGCAGATTATTCACCGGGACATAAAGTCGAACAATATACTGCTCGACGAGTATTACGAGGCACACGTGGCAGATTTTGGGATGGCTAAGCTGATCGACTTCCCGTTGTCGATGTCCATGTCGACCGTGGCTGGCTCGTACGGGTACATTGCCCCTGGTATGTGAAACGACCAAAATACCCCTCCATATTTTTCATGATTTCTACTGTCTTGTGGAACTTTAAAACAATATCTTGAGCTATAAATAATTTCTGGAACTCGAGAAATGGTTTCTAGAACGTCATAAACAATGTCTCATAATTCTACAAATGATTTTTTTTTTTATTGAAAAATATGGGAGTAAGGGTAAATGTGCCATTTTACGTGAAACATTTATGTAATACTTCCACAATAGGCGACGTCATTTCATCTTTGCATTTGCTACTTGAGTATAAACCAAGAGAACTTTTGATTTTTGCAACAATGGTCCCTGAAAGAGGATTAGTACTGTACTCCTCCTGCAAGGTCCCAATTTGGTCTTATTGCAATATTGGTCCCTGATTTTTTTTTTCATGCAGCATTTGGTCATAGAAGTTTCCAATTTAGTGAATTCTGGTCCTACATTAACTTCAACACTAGATTATTTATCCCACGATTCCCTTCAAAAAATGGCAAGCACAAGACCATGAAGTTGAATCTTACCAAAAAGATAATGCTGCTAGAAACCATCACATCTTACTGAAATTGCAATTTGGCCCCTCCACAAACAATGTTTGACAATCCCATCCCTTTTTTTCGTCGTTTTTTTATTTCAGAGTACGCTTACACGATGAAGGTGACCGAGAAATGCGATGTCTACAGCTTCGGCGTAGTCCTGCTCGAGCTCGTCACTGGAAAATCTCCCGTGCAGCCCTTAGACCAAGGCGGAGACCTCGTGTCGTGGGTTAGAAAATCGGTCCAAAAGCTCGACTCGAGTTGCGAAATACTCGACCCGCGCTTGGACCTCAGCTCGAAGAAAATGGCGAACGAGATGTATTTGGTTCTGAAAATCGCGCTGTTTTGCACAAACACGGGCCCACTTAACCGGCCCACCATGCGGGAAGTGATTGCCATGCTCGTCGATGCAAGAGAAGGCGTGCTGACGAGCTCCGTGCAGTCCCCGACATCCGAGACGCCTTTGGATGGGGATTGATGATGAGCTGTACTCAAAGGTACTACCTTTTTCATATATCTTGTGTTTTGTATTGTATTTGGAACTGATGTTTTTGGACATGGGTTCATATTTCATAAGCTATTGATGATGTCTGTTCTGGGTTTTGAACAGGGGTAATTACTAATTAGGCTATCATGTGTTGTTAGAGGAGGATAATGTTTTCTTGATTTGAAATTCAAAATTGTAAGCTTTGATTGATTAGTTATATTGTTGAGTAATTAGTTGATGGCAACTGAAAAAAAATTAAAAATGTGATACTTGTTTCCCAATTTGATGGTAGTTTTTACAGTTTATATGTACCCAATTTGATGGTAGTTTGTATATTATTTGGTCGTATTAAATAAATAGTATTAAAACATTTTCCCACCCAAATATCTTAATATTATTAGTTATTTTTTTTTTTTTTGTTGGAATTATTTTTTCATTATATTATTATTGTAAGGTTAATGTTGAGTAGGTTCCATTTCTATTGGTTACAAAAAATCCTTACTTTACTGGTAAAGTGCCATAAATATGCAACTTTACTAAAGTGAGCCATCAACTTTGCACTTGAAATGATTTAGAGCTAAAAAAAAGTCAAACAAACAAATGCAATTAGCAAAAGAGATCGAAAAAATCATCACAAACTGTGATATTTTAATCATGAATTGGCATTTATAAGTTAGAAAAGAGCAATATATTAGATATTAACATATTTCAATATTTTGACTTGTATGATCAATAAATCTTATTGACCAAAATTTAAAGTTTTCAATCACTATGTAGAACAAGAAGCTACAACCAAATACAATTTAGTTAAACACTAATTCTTGTGCCAAGCATCCTAACAACTAGCTAGGCAGGTCAACATATCATATTCTAGTTTTCGAGCTATTGGAGTAAACTCGATTATCGATGGCATTTTTACAATTGTACCCCTCGTTCTTGGAGTGTGGCTGATATAGAAGCAGATGCCTCTTCTAGTGTTCTTTTTTTGGGAAATTTTGAAACTACCCCTGAAAATGTACCAAAACGCAAGAAACCGTTGATGTAGTGTGTTTGTAAAACGAAATAAATCACTCTTAAGGGTGCACTTTGCAGAACAAAATCACACTCCAATGGAGGGAGGGAGCATTAGAAAATTTGAAACGATATATGGGTTCTTTTGTAGTTCGGCCAAAAGCCAGGGACAGTTCTATAATTATACCACAAGTTATAGTAAAGAATTTATTCAGAAGAGAGAACAAAAACAGATTTAAAACTAAAGAATTTACTTCATTCACAACTCAGTAAATTAATGCTCCAACTCAGTAACCCACTAAGCTCACCCCCACCCACTTTCATAGTCCTCATGCAAATCATGACATTCTAGAACAATTTTAATGCTCACATCAACCTCCAAAACTGGAATCCATTAGATCCCAATCCTTGCAACTGGACTGGTGTGGTGTTCTTTGTAGCCCCAATGAGAAAGTCATCTCTGTACACCTCAGCAGCCTCAACTTATGGGGAACTCTTATCATCAACCATTTGTGATCTCCCTTTCTTGAAAAATCTGAACCTGTCGAAAAACTTCATTTCCGGTCCAATCCCTCACGATTTCAACCGCTTTCGGTACCTCGAGGTCTATAGTTCCAATTTTGAAGTAGAAAGCCATGCTGTTTTGGTAGCAACTTATATTGGTCAAGAAGCCATGATTGTCACTTGAATCATTGCTAGTTAACACTGATATACAAATTAAGGCTTTAGCAATTACAGGTACAGAACATAGAAAGTGGTAGGAGAATATTCGTCTGCATGAGATGATGATTGTGAAAGCACAAGTGTTAAATCCAAGTCTTCACTTCCACGATCAGCAATGGAACCATAATGACAAAAACTCAAGGCAATTAATACATTATTCTCACAAGGGCAAATGGTTGTCACTGAATGATTACATAGCCAACAGAAAAAAGTAACAAGTTTAAAGCTTGATGATGATTAGATTAAGGTAAGGAGCCAGCTCATATATACACATTGGATTCAGAGTATGTACTAACTATCAATCATCCAATATTCCAGAGACAGGGATCGGAAAACAAAGCACGATTATCATAATATTTAAAATTTTATCTCGAACTTTGAACTAGTACCAAACATATTGCTGTCACATTGAGCTGGACATACATACAGAAAGCCACAACAAAAACATTCTTGCAAAATGATGCACGAAAGTTCGTTCATTACGGATCAAACATAGAAGTCTTACAGGGGGAAAAAAGGTGTAGACTTGGTGTATAACATAGGGGATGTAAAAGTTTTAAAGCTTAGCATAACGAGGTTTTCGCTTGTGCAGGTGAGCAGATATTGCTTCCTTTAAATCATCTGATACAAGTACTCCAGAGTTCCACGTAGCAACATAATCCAAACCTTGATCCACCGTAAGGTCTCTGCTCTGTATCAGTACACGCTTCGTCCCAATTACAGCAAGAGGAGACTTTGCACCTATACCTACCAAACAACAACAATAAAGCATCCAAATTTTCAGCTATGCTCGCTCCTCCATAACTTCCTATTATTGCTATATTGAAATTCCATTTTCCAAATGAAGAAGAAGAAGAAGAAGAAGAAGAAGAAGAAGCAATAAGTACCATAGGCGATTTGTGCAACCCCTTTCTCCAAAGTTTCCCTATCGCTAAAGATCCTGGTCACCAGTCCGAGCTCTTTCGCCTCCGTGCCCGAGAAGTTCCGACCAGTCAAAGCCAGCTCCATGGCGTTACCAAATCCGACAATAGCTGGAAGCCTCTGGAGCGACCCGAGATCCGCCGCGATCGCCAAGTCCACCTCTTTCACACAGAACATTGCATCCTCGGTCGAATACCTCAGGTCGCATGCCGTTATTAAATCAACACCTCCTCCAACGCACGCCCCATGAACGGAAGCAATCACCGGCTTCCTGCACTCCTCAATCGCCGTCACCGCTTGTTGCAGGAATTTAATCTCCCGCCGGAGCTTCTCGCCGGCGCGTCCTCTGTCCCCTGATTCAGTGTCCTGTGAGGTGAAGCTCAGTGTTTGGATATCGATTCCGGCGCAGAAGTGATTGCCGGTGCCGGCAAGAACGATGACGCCGACTTCCGGGTTCTGGTCGAGCGCAGACAGAGCGGCGGGGAATTCAGCGAAGAATTCATGTGAGAGAGCGTTACCACGCCATGGTCGATTGATGAACAGGTGGAAAACTCGAGAACTGGGGGATTTCTGCTCGATTTTGATGGTTGTGTAGTTCTCCCCCATTTTCAGAGCAACAATTAAACCCTTCTTCTAGTATAAGAACATCAATATATTGAAAGTGCTACAGAAACCATCAAATCTTACTGAAATTGCAATTTGGCCCCTCCACAAATTTTTTTTGACAATCCCATCCTTTTTTTTTCGTCGTTTTGTCTTTTCAGAGTATGCTTA